TATTAATATGTTCATTTACCATTACCATTTACTAGTACTAAGCTTAATTGTGTATGTTCTTTGCTTTATTTAAACAAGTGTGCTGTCAGGTTTGCTTGAGATGATCACGCTTCCATTTCTTTTAAAGAATGAGAAGTAATTTCAATTCATTGCCATTACAAGCCAATCCATATGGTCGTGAGCCATATATGGAAATTACATTTGCAGTGATTGAGTTTTTGTTCACCTTTTATTCAATGGAAGTTTCGTGAAAGAGTTCTTGTAGACCATATATATTTTTTAAAGCTCTTAGTATTTATTACTGAGAGTTCAGAGAAAGCATCAATTGACAAAAGCCTCGATTTTTCTTAGTTACCGTTTTACAGATTTCATGCATAGAGACGTTTTACCTTAGATACGGGTTTAACCTTAGAATCATATTAGTTAAACCCTCCGCGTCAGTTTTCGAGATTGCCAAATGGGCCCCAGTTGCCACAAAACTTTCTTGAGTCTTGACGACCCGTGAAATCGTGCCATATACTACCTGTCTCTGATACAATACTACCGAGATATGTAAATTTTGCGGATACAGCTTACGACATTTGACTACTAGTGTTTTATTTATTAATTTTTACTATATTTTCTTTCTATCTACCCTAATATTATAAAGAGGTAAAGTTTGTGACGTTGTAGGGGGTACTCTCTGGATCTACTGAACCGATTTAGATGAAATTTGGTAAGAAGATAGTTTGAGACCCTGCAAAGGACACAGGAATTTTTATTGCGGAAATCATCCCTTAAGGGGGTGAAAATGGGGATGAATGTTTGTATGAGGAATCTAGCTAGGGACGAACCCAAGCGAAGCGAGGGTGAGTCGCTAGTACATATAATAAAATTCTGAGTCGAATTTGTACATTAAATATTTTTTGGGAAATGTTATTGAAATAATAATTTTATAGATACAGAGGCCTTCAGAGGCCAATGTATACTTTTTAGAATTTTTGTCTGTCTCTTTGTCTGTCTATCTCGGAACGCATCACGAGAAAACCACTGGGCAGAATTTGATGATATTTAGTTTGATGATAGCTGGTTATCCGGATCAACATTTAGGATACAACTACGTATATTATTGATATTGAACTTCGCTTCCATTTTCATATTTATGTTTTTGATGGGATTAAATATTACATGATGAAGTTTCATAAATTTAAAACTTTCTTTATAATAACACTAATTAGTTGGTCAATCAATAGATGGACCATGTGGTATCGATTTTTTCGACTCGATTCGGACGGTATTAGGTACATTCGACTTTTCACGGCTTAATGGCATCGTAAACATAAGTTGCCCACATTACTCTCTTTCGTATTTAATGACTTTAAATCTAAAAGGCAATGGTTCGTTGTAATTCGTTCAAAACACTCTCTTGAGATTTTAGCAGTTAAATTACATTTTACTCGCAAAAATCTTGAAAATGCATTGAAGTAAATAAATTATCCGTTATAAATATTATTAGGAGTTCGACTTTTCAATTGTGATTTATTTTATTGACATTATTTATAATATTAGAAAGTAAAGAAAAACCTAAAATTATATTTTCCTGTTTATTTTATTCTCCTTTCAAAGCCAACTCTTCAGCGCTCTGTCATTAAAAGGAATACCCCCTTCATTAAAATCATCACACTAACTATATTCTAAAGCAGAATAGCTCACCATTTTATTAAGGCACCACACTTCCCTTGCTGTTAGTTTAACTATTATGTCTATTAATACAGCTTACAAATTTATATTAACTTCGCCGTTCTATCTGCATACGGAATGGTATAAAAAGTTATGGGAACATATTAATTTTATAGTATACTCTACTTATCTTATTTATATTTGTGTATGCATATGATTTAATCTAGAAAATTTAAGCAAATAGTTTCGTTAACATTTAAAACATTACATGTAAACCAGTCACTCATATGCTAAGTCGCTGCAGATGCTCAAGGCGAACGTATGATGTTTTTAAATATTAATATGTAAATTAAAAAAGGAAAAATTGATTGAAAAAAACTAACACTTATAATGTCTGGTGTGTAAGTTTGTACTAAGACATATTTTCTGAGAAGTCAACTTGTTGGGTTAGATATACAGATTCCTAGGTCCTAATTTAAGGTCTGGAGTCAAAGATAAAGATTATATAATACCTAAGCGATTTGCAGATTGCTGCCGAATACAATCAGTTAAAGTAAGAAGTAACCGAAAAATATAGCAGTACCTATATGATTATGCAAATTTAAGTTAGTTGATTTATATGGAAGGTAATAATTAAGTATTATATTGGGGCATTTTACCATCTGTTACGAAAGTGTCTAAAAGAATCTAAGCAATTTTTCGCACTATTACGCCGTCAGCTCTTTTGCAAATTTTACCCGTAAAATTATGTATTTGTTTTTCGCTAGTGATAACAATTACAAGGGCAAATTAAGCCCAACACTAGCTTATTAAAATATTATAATAACCCATATTAATCCCTTTTTATTTTTATACTACGCTTTGCGAGTACACTTTACTACACGTGTGCAGATGGCTCCCAATGAGATTGGCCGCCGTCACCGAAATCGGCAGGGAGGACATTATTATTATTACTATTCTGAAAAACAATTTTTTTTCTTACTCATAAAATTTCTATTTCTTGGCCATCTTGATGAAAAAAATTACATTAGTGGCTTTAGTAAATGAATTTATATAACACTTTCAAATTACTAATAGTTTTTACTCCCAGCTCCGCTGTCGCACAAATTGCAAAAATACTCCTAAGGGTTGTGTCATGATATTAGATATTTTATAGCTGTCTTCAATAAATAATAATTTTTAAAATAAAGATTTTTAACTACTAAAACTAAACTTACGGGTTCGCGTCACGGACATGCTACGTAGGACATGACGACGCAGCCTGGCGCAAACTGGCGACGCGCAGTGTTATATGTTTTGATTAATAAATAAATTATATCAAAATGTAAATAATTATTTCTCGGAGTGCCAATGGATTTGAAAACCAGACTAATAATCATTTCAATTTACAAATTATGTAATTTTAATTATTCATACTATAATTAATTTAACAATAAAAAAACACAGCTATTTCAAAGTTATAAGTTTTCACTTCTGTCGACAGTTCCCATGACTGCCTATTTTATTTTTTATTAAATAGGATTAATATTCTCAAACTACTGACGATGATGATGCGCTTCCGTGCATACAAACAAAAGGAAAGAAAAAACATATAAGCAATCTCGTTAGCTTTATAATATAAGGATCGATTAAGGTAATATTGAGAAATATGATTCATAAAACACATCTAAATTGAATCTGAGAAGTGAACTTGTAAGACTTAATTACATAGTGTTGAGACGCTCCACTGGGATTGGAGCCAAGGTATTCAATTTACACTATACGTTAACTGGACAGAATACGCATAGATGTTCTTATATGAACTTCTAAAGCGACATCTGCTGCTATCAAAATACGACACGCTTATTAATTATGAACTTTATGCTATATGTTTATGGTATACTTTTGAAAAGCAATTTAGTTTTACGTTTCTGTACAAACGCCTTATAACTTCACGTTAAATTCAGGTCAGGGCGGAAATCGAACTTGGTCCTTTAGTTTAATAACCTAGACAACTAATAGAGCTGCTAGTATTTTAAACTATGTTTTCTTACTTAGTACCTAGTGTTCTTTTTTTTTAAATATTACAATATGTATAAGTGTTTAGTAGGTATGCGCCAAATGTTCGGTCGAATATTCGTATTCGGCATGTTCGGCATTTTTTTGTGTTCGTATTCAGCCGAATATTCGGTTAAAATTCCGAATAATTACCAAATAATTTTAATAGTATTATGTTAACATTTATTATTATTATTTTAATAATAAAAAAAGTTTTACACTAAGAAATACATAGTATATTGTGTAAATGGAACAAGCACTACGTTGCGTAAGCATCATTTATTGATAAATAAAATAATATAAATTAAAAAAAACAAAAAAAATCAATTTTTAATATACCTAAATGAACTTTTGTTTTCCAACAAAGAAAAGTTTTATAACTAAAACTTCGCATTCTATAAAATCAACATTTTAAAAATAGCTATTACTAACACAATTTACAAGTGACGTAAAATTAAAATGAACATAACTCAATGTATTCAGCCCTTCTTAACGACCCACTGCTGAGCACGGGCCTCCCTTCAATATGAGGGAGATCAGGCCATAGTCCATCACGCTGGCCAAGTGCGGGTTGGAAGACTTCACATGTCTTTCGAAAACTTGCTAGGTTCTCTCAGACATGCAGGTTTCCTCACGATGTTTTCCTTCAGCGTAAGGCAAGTGGTAATCATGTTGAAAATGATTCGCACATGAAAATATTAGTGGTGCGAGACCCGAAATTTGAACCCGCTTCACTCGGTTACCCAAGTGAGCACGTCATCACTGGGCTACCACTGCCACCCAACTCAATATTTATTTAAAATCAATGTTAATATAAAAAAAACATTTGCTAAAAAAATACTGGTAGCTAAAATCAACAAGTTGTATAAAATCTTTTAATTATAAAGTAATTTATTCACTAATCAATATAAACACACAGAACTCTAATGAAAAGTACCTAGTGTTTTGTCAAGTTAACAAACATAATAAATATTTTAAAGTAAAATGGTAAATTATGATGTTGAAAAAGTAGGCTTTCTGCCCTGTGAGGTAACAATCTATTTCTTATTTATTCGTAAATATTCCCTGCTTCTGAAAATAATTGTATTCTATAAACTTAAGTAGCCGGAGACGAAAAGAAAATTCTGGCTAAAATTGCCATGTTGGTCCTTGGTTTTTTGCCCACCACGTTAAATTTCAAAGGATTCAAATGGCGTTGTAATAAATTCTCAATCATATATTCTTTTAGTTCTAAGGCTATTTGGCTTTCATTACTAGTATTTTTTTCAGATATTGTTGGCTGCTTCGTGGAAGCTAATTCTTCATGACAACTCTAAAAAGCTGATATCATATTTTCTACTAGCATTTTTTTCTTCTTCATTTTCACTGCTGCTGCTGTCTAAAGTGTCACTACTTCGGCTATGTTCTCTGAAGAATGTTGTTTTAACTGATTCAGATTTTTCTGTCGAGAAGAAATTCAACCAGAATCTAGGATTTAACAATGTCGCCAGTGTATGGTATTTGTCTTCCTTGTTTGCAAATCTGTGCTTCAGATCTGTTTCTAATGTCCCTCGCGTTTCATTAACGTTCAGGCACACTTGATTAGTGTCTTGCTTAGGTAAATATTTTCAAAGTATCGTAATGTGAGGTATTAGTTCAGATATTTATGAAAAAGTGAAACTAGTGAGCTTTGTTACTTGTTCGAAAGGTTGCAGTGTAGGTACAATACCTAGTTCAAAATTTGCTACTGACGCTCTGTTAGATTTTGTAAATTTACTGTACCGCTTTCATATTCGGCGCATCCCTAGTATTTAGTAACGAACCGACACTTTGGCATTTTTTCATTTAGACGAATGCATGTTAGTTGCAATAAGGGGAATGGTATTTACCGTGGCGTTTGATTTCAGCCAGCTTATTACTCGCAATCTTTGGGAGGTTAGTGCCAAGCTTAGCGTACTAAGCTAAGCAACAGAACATAAAAGCATTTGCAATTGCGTAATTTAAGTTTTTTTCCAAGATAAAACGTAACACTATAATATATCTCTGTACCAAAACATACATCCATTAAAACTTTCGAATTTATAATATTTATGGGATATGGGATTATATAGGATCTTATTATGAGAAGCGGCTTGAATCCCTGGTGAGTGCTATTGCCCGTTGTTATATATATTTTTTTGTTTTACCTAAGGCTTCTACTACAATGATGGACTGACATATGCCGATTTTACTGGAGAGAAGAAACAAAAAATTAAACAACTAAAAAACACTTTGTCTCGTACTCTCATTTTTTCGGGCAGGCCCATAGACCAGTGTTCTATATAAGTTAATATGAGTTTTCAAAATAGGACTCTATAGATGTAGAACTCTAAAATCTAATGAAAAATATTATAGAACGCATACTATACAACCAATATTATAAACGCATAGGATAGTGAAGACTACTTAAATAACTACACTTTGTATAGAGATATACGTATATTATAACATAGAGTTTCTTAATATTTTTGAACAAAAATATCATAAAGTGGATAAATATATTGGGTTAACAGTATGTACCTACTTTTGAGCGTCAGCATCGCCTCGAGCCTCGCCTTTGCAATGCGGCAAACGTGTAGCGATGGAAAAACTAGGATTGCTAACCGCCCGCACCGTGGTTTCGCAGCGGAGACACGAATATTTTATCATGCGATGTAAACTGCATTAACTTAAACGTTAATGTAACTATTATTCACGACTTTGCTTGTTAAATTTAATTAATTAATATCTAAATCCATGCACTATACTACCTTCTGCATTGTCACCGACTTTTCACGTAACGGCGGGCGGATTCTTTGTTCCGACAAAATTATTTCGTAACGATTTTGTATAAGATATTAATCAATCACATCATATATAATATTATTTATTACATCTGTTTTATAAAAATCAATACATATCATTAAAATTGGATTATTTTTTTTATTAATTTGGCTATTAAAAAATAATAAACGTTCAATTCGTTAAATCCATCAAGTAATTTCTAAATAACACTCACCAAAACATTAAACCACCATGAGGTCAAAGTGCTAAACACTTCTTAAAAACATAACACCACGTGTTATCGCCTCTACTTGTGACAGGAGAGCTGGCTCGTTTTTCGTCGTTTTTCGTTTTTATGTATCATATTTGAAACATATTTAAACAACATAATAATTTCCATCGGTTTAATTTTAGTGATCTTTACTAGCATTATTTTAGTTTAATATTGATAAAAAACTGCGAGAACTGCAGTATAATATTCGATGCGTAAACACAGGATGCCAGCAAGATAGCCTTGTAGCTTGTAGCTTGTAGCAGCAAGATATATATGGAATCTGGCAAAGGATGAGAAACAAACTGTCCAACCGCAGTCATTTAAACTACCGTTTTCTGAATATATTACTGCTTATGTAACTATCAACTACACGTTATTTGAAATAATAATATTTCGCACTCGTTCCAATAGTGCTGTGGTCTCTGCGAACAATGTACTCGTACATCTTTCACATATCATTCATTCAATCAGCCGTTGTGATAATATTCATATTTCCTATGAAATCTCAAACTACCATTTGATAGCATTATTTAAAATGAATAAATATCACAGAATTAAAAAAAATATGTAGAAAAATCATTTTACGCACTTATCATGTAAAAATATACTTCATAGATAAAATGTATTGTACAAAATTATAAGCCACATTAAATTGTGTAAAAAATAATTATTATAATCTGTTAATTGTCTCTTAAACAGCTTATTAAATAAACATCGATGTATAACACCAAATAAATAATGACATCGAACGATTTGCAATGTTTTTGAAACCCCACAAGGCCCTCAGGGCTGGTCATATCAGTATCTTGACGACTCTTGTGATAGACAGTACGATCGATAGTAATTAATTATATAAAAAAATCAACTTAAAATATTTGTTGTTAAACTTTCTCGTAGTAGTGTAATTAGTGTAAATATGTCTAATATCTAACATTTAAATTTATTTTGTAGCTATATACGTATACTGTAGTTTGCAATTTTGATTTGTTGTTTTGATTAATCATACGCCATGTCTAAATATAAAAATAAACATAAATTTTTACGTCGCGGAGTCCAGAATTATCGGTAAGTTTTCTATACATAAAATATTACAGTTATTTATTTGAATTAAGGATGACTGTTATAATTGAATTCTTAGACGTACACAATATACATAGATATGCATAACATATGCGTATCCTTTTGAAAGGAGAATCAAAACAAATATTTGCGAGTAATCGTACTCGTAGTATACATTTGAAGATTTAAATATACAGACAGGGTAATATTTTATTAATGTAATGTACATATTTATTTTCTTCTGGCATGCTTCTTAGCGCAAACATAACTAGAAACAAAAAATGTATTTTTAATTCAGAATATTACCTGTATAATAAAAGCCTTATTCAAATCCACGCAACCGTTTTAAGTGTTACGAAATTAAACAGACTGATAAAAATTGTAGCAACTTTTTGACCTTGACTTTAAATGCGTACTCCTTTTTAAGACTTCTAAAGAAAAAAATGTATTAGGTCTCCCGGAGAGCAAACAGTTTGTTGTGATACTTCATAATTCTCGCTCTTGACCAAGTTTAAAAAGGAAGAGGTACTCAATTCAGATATGATTTTTTATAAATGACACTCGATATCTTCGCCAATGCAGCACTGATTTTAATTATTCTTTTAATGAACAGGCTCAAGTTTGGTACCGTAAAAATTTCTACCCTTGACGTTAAAATCAGTAGGTACTTTTAAGGTGACTTTGATGTCACCTTTGTCATTATCATGAGTTTTTAATAATATCTGGTTATTTTCGTTAGAATGCGAAACAAAAAAAATATCTACTAGTAAATAAATCATATATATGGTATTGTTTAATACTAACTATATCTCTATATCAAATTATATTGCATAATACGGTTAGTATGATTTTTTTTAAATTGAATATTTTTATTTAGTTTCTGTGCAATGCTAAAGAATCACGTTAAGCTTAGAGTTTAATCAAAAGTTAGAGCATTGGTAACTCCTATAAATATTTTTTTATTATTTATAATTGAAATATTATCTATATTATGATCGTAATTTATCTCTTCTGTCAATAATTTGTAGTAGTTTTCGGTAATTATTAATACTAACAATAATTACATCTTAAATTTTTTTCAATATTAAATATTTACTCCATAAAAAGTACATTGGCGCGGATGAAACAGTTCTGGCACCAAACAATCTAATTACAGCTTTCATAGGTCATAAAAACGGTACCAGAAAGTCTAGAAAAGTGAAGTATGGCGGCATTTTTTGCCATTTAACTTTTCTTATCTTAATTGGTTAATTTTTTTATGCAACATCAGTTCTAGCCGCAATGAGTTAATGAACTACTTGATACTGTTAATAGTTTCGACGATGGTAGGTCATATTTATTTTCTCTTTACTTATCATGTATGTACTAGCGGCTCACCCTTGCTTCGCTCGGGTTCGTCCCTAGGTACGTTTTAACGGTTAGTATAGAATAGGCTATATATATGTATATTGTACAATGTACATATATAGGTACCTGTAGAAAAGTAGGTGTGTATTTGCTTTTAGTATAGATTTCTCAGATCGCGGCGACTGTAGGTACCTACTATTACGTTTGGATTGGCACCGACTTCAAACCTATCAATAGGTAGCACATACAAATAATAGTATTTTATTAATATTAAAGGTATTAGGTTTGCATAAGAGGTGTAATTAAATCTTTATTAAGTTATTTTATACTTTTTAGTTTTTGAAGTCGGTTTTTTAAACGTAGTTTTTTTTTATGAAACTGTACAATAATATAGTTCATACATCAGAATAATAAATAGGCATCTTCTTGTCCCGGAAAAATGTACGGTTCCCGTGGAATAGCGGCCCAATATAGCGGCGGTATATAGTAAAAGTAGTTATTGCGAGTATACCTTGGGAGATAAGCATATTTACTATTCCAGACTTTTTTATAGTCATTTTTAAGACCTACAATTTTCTAGTACATTGTTTTGAAGTATTTTTTAAGGTTTAGCGTCAGCCATGTAAATTTCTAAGGACGACTCGATAGAACCAGTTATTGTGTTTTCTCCTAGGAATGAAAATTTTTCTGGAGTAAAAAAGGGTATCCTAAATGTTAGTAGAAATAAGTTACCACTTCACAAAATTTCTTTAAAATCGGTTCATTACTTTTTGCGTGAAATGCGCACACACAAACATACATACAGACAAACGAACCAAAATTTTCATAACTATTATTTTTTGGTCTATATTGGAATCTCTGAGGTGAATCTGAGGTAAATATTTTAAAAAATATGCGGTGTACAGATTTCTCTATGTTTCTGTTTTATTATTTGTAAGTACAGATACTGCATACTGATTTTATAAAGAGGCAAAATAGTATGTATGTTCCTTTGTGAAAAGTAATCTTTGGAAATATTAGCTGATGCTGAAAATGTATATATGTTTTACTAAGAAACTAAAAACACTTTTTTAGGAGCGCACTTGAAATCTGACACTCTGACTAGTTAAATCAAGTGAGCCTAAATTCTTAAGGATTTACTGGAAGAAATTGAAGAGTTACGAATACAATACATTTGTTTAGCATTTATAATTTAATGTTTCTCACCAAAATTTCTTGAAAATGCTGTGCTTTATACAAAGAATGTTTATTGGATTGCTTGATTAGAATACAATTTAAACTAAAAAGATTGGTGTACAAAATATATAAAAAATATATGTATATACATTATACATATTATATCTAGGTGTCTACAGTAGGTGTATATAATAGGTAGTCCTTTTTTGAATTCAGTCGATCAACAAGGAGTATGTATATAATATAAAATACGACATATTTATAAAATAAGCTCCATCTTTAAGTATTTGATGGCCTACGCTGCTCCATAATTAAGATAATCACAATTTTAGAATATCTCTGCAAAGACATATATAAATTTTAGTAGTATTTATATCATAAAGTATACGCTTCTTCCCGACTGCAGTACACTACAAGATTGTCAGATCTCGTCTTATTGGATAATCGAGAAGCTATTTTCATTTAAATAAATTCGCCAAAAAGATAAATGGACAAGCTGACAAATTTATCAGATGCAATAGTCACAATAGCTCTTAAGCTTACGTAATGATCGGGCAATGGAATGAATTCCGGGGCTTTCATTTTCCTCACTATTGCTCACTCCCCATTGCATTGAAACCGAGTATTAATCGATATTTTCACAATACGAGAAGGTATTTCAATGTAATATTAAAAAAATGGATTTTATTTATGTTGATATAAACCTGTTTTAATTTCCCTAATATATCCTCTTTTCATCAGAATTGACATTTTTCATATATTTTTTTTATATATATTCTACACTTTTGGATTATGCATTTGGTGAAAATTTCTTTTTAGTAATACATTTCAACGACTATTCGTATAATACATTTTCAATAAGCTTTTATTGAAAATAGGGCTATTGATTTATCATTATGTTAATTTTACCTATTGTAAGTAAAACGTTGCAAAATAGTTACTATTATTTAAATTATTCTGTTATAAATATTACAAAATAAATTCATATCCACACTTTCATATCCATACTTACATACTAATATTATAAATA